ATTTTCACCGAATTTGTTTTTTCAGGAACAGATGTGGATTACGAGAGAGGCAGAGTGGGTAGCATGAATATCATCGTGTGCACTCCCGGTAGACTACTGCAACACATGGACGAGAACAGTACATTCTCATGCGATCACATTCAAATTCTCGTGATCGACGAAGCTGATCGAATCCTGGATCTTGGCTTCTCAAAGCAGGTGAAACAGCTGACTGGTTGAAACACCTTTATCTTTATTTTTCTCTTGCTACGATTACGTCAAATGCTTGTGAAACGGTGCGAGAGTGAAACTCATGATTGCGCATGAAACTCATGATTCGAGAAACGATATCTGTGAATTTTAGCTTTTTAGAGCACTTCATTGGGGTTCCATAGGTTTGGTAGATGCGATGAGTGAGAATTTGGTCCGTTTCGCAGCCTGATCGTTTATTTCTAATTTTGTCGATTTAAATTTTTAACTGTTACCTTTCATTCTAACTTTGTTTTGCGCATACGGTATCCATCTCCATTTTAATCAGTGGACAGAGGAGGTCATTGCAGTCATTTTCTTACCATCGCAATTCTGGCAGATGAATTCATATTTATCCTATGTTTCACAAATTTTTCCAAAAATGAATTTATTTGAAGATGAATGCTATATTGGAGAATTTGCCACTGGAGCGTCAGACACTGTTGTTCTCAGCTACACAGACCAAAAATGTCAACGACTTGGTACGGCTGGCAATGAAAAATCCCATTTATGTGTCTGTGCATGAGAACGCACCACAGGCAACACCCGATTCACTGCAACAAGTATCATTTTTATTATTTTTTTTTTATTTTGGAATAACACTGACCAGCGAAAATCCACCGACATGAAAGAGACAACACCCGCCCTCCTGGTGGTGGCATGGATACAGACTGGATTATGATGGCAATCAAGAATGGGGACGCCTAGTATTACAACAGCTCTGAGAGCCCAGATGCAACAGTTTGAGGTAGTTACTAAAACTCGGCTCGGCACGGCTCGGCTGCCTCGGCCGCCTCGGCCACACCTCGGCCGTCTCGGCTCGCCTCGGCCGACCCCTGGCAACGGCATTATCGTGAAGCATAGGGTGGGAGAGCGGGACGGGGAGGTGAGGGGACAGGCAGGAGAAGGGGGAA